GTCGTTATGCTGCTTCGAACGTTTGTAATATCGCTTCGGTCAAGTGGAATCGACTCGCATCTCTTTGGGGACGGAAGTTGCAATCGAGGCTGACACGAGTGACGCAGAGGAAATTTTGCAATTCCTACAACTCAATAGCGCTGGGTGTAAACAAAAATGTGTTTACTATATGCGTAGCTTTATAGGTACTTTGATGTCGGTTTGAGAACAATATTTGATCTATGCGTTGCTGCAACATCTAGCCAAAACATCACAGAGTATTGTCACGTACAATATGCAAGCTGCGAATATAAGCCACGTGAATACCTATGTGTGTACAGTACAGTGGATAGGAATGGAAACTACAATTATTGCGGGGTCGCTGTTTAAGCTACATTATACCGTCACAATTGGGCTAAATAGACGTATAGAGTGGACAAATGCTGACGCAAATTTTAACCCGACTGTTTTGTATTTAGTTTAGCTTTGGTTAGCAATTTATATAGTTTCAATCAATATGCGTATGACGTACGTGACTAGTGACTCATGCAGCCCCAGGTTATTGGATATAATAAGATAATTAACGAGAAATTTCGGCTACTGTTAATATTTACATTACGCGAGAAATTAATTATTTCTTCATTGTGAATCCAACAACGATGTAGGTAAAACCTAAGCGAGTATGATGTTAGTATTTGTGGAATTTTGTCATAATATCGCTTTTCACAAGTGCTTGTTAACGAAGTACCTAACAGATTGAATAAACTATTTTGTATGAATACGCTTTTGATGTAGCACGAAGAATTTATGTAAGTACTTATATCAGTTGTTTGTTTGATCTCGATTCATTTTTCGAATGGTAATAAATTTTAGGCAACAGTATTCACTAAAGTATTGGAAGTTTAATAATGGTTTGAGATATAAGATTTACATTATGTTATGATAAACACAAAGCTATAAAACAAACATAATTTTTATTTAAAGGTCGTGCATAGTCAAAAAGAAAATGGTGAATATTCAAACAAAGAGCATTTAATTTATTGTAATTACAAAAAAAATTTAGAAGAACTTGAAGGGTTCGGAAAAAATATATACGATTTAATACTAATCAAAACGTGTCTATTCTCGTCATAAAAATAAATGTTCAAAAAAAAAATGGTAAATAAGCATTTAAATTCCAAATCCTCGATTAAGGGCAATACTTTTATTGCCCTTCACTTTTTCTTATTACGAAAATTTACTCATATTTTACAATTTATTGAGATAAAATTGTAAAATTAAATTATAATATGCATTCTTTGCATGTTATAATTTATTTTTACAGTGCCTAATTATAGAACCCCATTAATAGTATGAATATCGTATAATTTCACCACAATGGTGCAGATGACACTGTCTATAGTTACCCTGGTTCGTTTGCCCCATTAATAGTGCAAGTCAATGGTGCATTCGGTACAACGGCATTATAGGTATTGTGATGTAATATACTCAACTCTTCGACAACCTGGCGGCTAAGACCGGTGTCATTATTTCTATTTGATTGAACAATGAGCTTTAATCTAACGATTTTAAGTTTATTGCTTATTTTTCAACATTTGAGTAAGCGTTTGTTTTGCTCGAGTGAAATAATGGTAACTTGTTTCAGGCAGCATGTTGCTGATTGCTTTACTCTTCATTCGGAACAATTTATTTTTTATAAGGTATATAAATATGATTGAAAAATTTTGTTACTTTTGGGCGATGTATTTCCAAATTGTGTACATGGTACCTCGCGTGCTATCTGTACATTTGTATGTAGATTGCGACATGGCGAATACACATCGAGGAACTCTGGGCCATTTACCATGACGAACTGGCATTTTGTAAAATTCTCATATTGACGTAGTTCAGTAATTGAGGCAGAAAAAAGTTACCACAATATCCAAACTTTGAACGGTTTTCGTTTTAAGAATCAAAATAATGAGAAAACGGCAGCCTTAAAATGACCGAACTCCTTTTCTGTGATTATTTTATATTTTAGTGGTTACCAAAATTATAGTAGGTAGTAAGTGTGATTGCTACCATGTACTTTGTTACTTACTCGTTATAGTTACTACGTGATCATAAAATTTGTAAGAGGACTGAAATATAGGCTATACACGCCCGCACCAATTTTAAATAAATATCGAGGACTGTCAAAAACAGCGATTTGAAAATTTATAACAATTAACAATGCGTGAAAGTTGCAGTTGCCCCTGTCAATTGAAAAGGACAATTTGAATTCCCACTCTGGAAGGTGGTAGAGCACAGAATTATATAAGTACAAGTCGTGATCCATTATAGGAACTTTTGTTACAAATATGAATACATATTATTCAAAAATTTATCAATATTGTTTTTGTTAAATATAAAAATAGTTATGAATGACTGCTCACTTTGATGGCTACATGTAGATAGCGTTAAGATTCTGCAAAAGCATTTTGATCTATATACATAGATCAAGAGATTTATTTATTCGCCATTATTCAAATTACATTGACATGCTTGGTTATTCTCGATTAGAAGATAGAACGCGGAGTTAGATTAAACACAAAGTAAGATGCGAGTTTCAGAGACTCGACATGCAAGCAGGTATGAACAAGATAATTTGGGACCGGAGTTCTTATACGTATAGCGTTCTATCTCTAGCATCCAGTCGCTTGATGAACAAAAGGATTGATTAACATTCATATGTCGGTGGGTGATGCGTTTGTGACGTGTGCCCGGGGAGGGCTTGCCAAGTGCCGCAGCTTGCCGCCCTGATCATATTCGGTCATTCAGTAGAGTGATTGCAAAAGTGTAAGGTCGACATTTTTATTTTAGCTTACTAGCCAAAATGCCAGAAAATCAGGTACAAACGAACTGAATACAAAAGTGAGATTGAAAGACAATGGCAGCTTCCTATATCTTTTTTCATAGTATTTTAGTAAAATTAATCTAATTTTGTTAACAATAAAATATTAATTATTATTTATAATATATTTATTTTCTTTGAAAAAATAAAGCAGGCTGATTAAAAATATCGGTTTAATATTTGATTGTATAACTATATCAACACTTTTTTAACTCTGAGTGGATTTTTAGCTTGATTTTTACCTGCTGCTTTGGCGTGCAGTAATTGTTAATTACAATAAGTAAAAAAAAAATACATTTCGTATATAAGTATTCTATAAAAACTTTTCTTATATTTTTCTTTTAAAGGGCGTACAAAAACCTTTAACGAAGTCGAAGGCCACGTATTTTCCACATCGTGACGATAATTTTTTTCTTCTGGACCATACCTGGGAAATTTATGGTTATGGAGATATTTAAAGTCAAAGTCACATTTTTTTTTCAAGATTTATACATAATTATTTTCGAAACGTTATTTAGAAACTTTTTTATCGACGCACTTACATACACGCACACACATGTACATTATTTGCGTAGCGCCACAGTAGCGCGCCGCGCTATACATTGCGTACTGGAAAAAATGTATTTTTTTAACTTAAAAATACAAATGATTCCCACGTATAATATTTTGTAATATAACTTGTGGTTGGGTGTACAGAATGCGTAGTTATAGCCTTTGTCATTGGGTTTTTTACACCCTTTATAATAATAATATTTTTTTGTTTTCCTAATGGTATATGAAACCATACCTATCACCGAGGTACCAACAGATATTGTCATTGATAGTACTGAAGAAGATATTGTTTTCGTTGTTCCCTTGCGTCATTGTAGAAGAGCATTCAGATTATATAACATCCTATAAGACGTTTGTTATATAACACGTGCACATGATCTCCCGCGACAAGGGGTTCTGGCGGACTGTCTCGTGACACTGCCTAAAGAATTCTGAAGAGACCGAAACATGTGGAAATCTGAAGGTGCAAGGTCAAGACTATACGGCGGATGCACTAATACTTCCCAGTCAAACTCTCTTAATTTTTGCTGAGTGGCTAATGTTATGCGAGGTCTAGCTGTTTTCATGATGAAAAACCAACCCCCTGTTGATTGATTCCGCCCGCTTTCTCCCAACTCCTTGCTTTAATCTGATCAGTTGTTCACAGTAGAGTTCAGAATCGATGGTCTTGCCTGGTACTAACACTCATAATGAATAATGCCCTTCAAATCACCATACACACAGCATCACCTTGTTGCGAGTTAACCCGGGTTTCGCCAAAGTCTGTGAAGCCTGACCAGCCAGCACGACCATTTTCGCACGTTCTTGTCTTACGTGATCCACTTTGTATCAGCTTCTTCAAAACAAGTTCGGTTTCATTATATCGTAATAAAGAATCACAAATAAGTACACGGTTCATTAGGTTTCTTTCAGTGAGCTCGTTAGGCACCCTAATATCGAGCTTTTTTGTGTAACGAACTTTCTTCAAATGCGCCAAAACTGTTTTGTGGTCAATTCCCAGTTTTTTAGCTACGTCGTAACTACTGATATGCCAATCTTGCTCCACTTTTTCAAAATTATACAACAGTTGCATAAATAACTAGTATACGAAACTATTTAACAACTATGTTATATAACATGTTTTGTTACTCGTATATAATCTGCACGCTTCTTCACCATGGCTAATATTACATTTATATTCTATGAAATTCTCATCTTTTACTAAGGTTCATAAGATACTTACAGCACGACTGGCAGACAGAAGGACGGACAGTAGTGTAAGCTGATAATAAGTTGGTATTGTCTCAAAGGTACAGAACCATTATGAATTCATAAACCAATCAAGCCCGGCGTATATCTTTACTAGCGGTCACCCGCGATGTCGTCTGCGTCAGCTTTAGATTTTAGAGAATTCTACAGGCAACAAAAAAATTCTGGGATAAAAGTATTCTATGTCACAATCCAGGTCAACTATATGCGCACAAAATTTCCATCCAAATCCGTTCAGTAGTTTTTGCGTGATTCATACAAGCTTTCACATTTATAATAATTAGTAGAAGGATACATGTAATTTTATGTTACTTGCATGGTGGTAGAAGTAAAATTTGCTGTATAAAAACGGGAATTTCCTTTATTTTACGTTTCTTATATTGAAATAACAATACATAAGCAAAGATCACTATTTTCACTTAGAATTTCTAATATAAAACTATTTACAAGTATAAAACTGACTACGTTCAACTCACTTTAAGGAATGTTTATTCTGATCACTGTATTTTAAAATCACCCATCATTAATTTAGTCTAAACACTGATTTAAGTCGAGAAAACAACAATGCACTCACGATAACATTTATTATTCAGATCATCGGATTGACCTGAAAAAGATGAGATACATTTTAATAGTCATATTAATAGATTAATAGATTATAGGAGTATCTAAATCTTTGAAATTAAAATGGTTTTAATACAGTCATGTAAATAGATTTGAAGTGCCTATCCAATACTTTAAAATGGCTTTTCAATAAAATTAGTTTACCTAAGAATTCACTTTGCTGAAGTGTTTACAAACTATATTCCACTTTCAACGAATCTTTAAACGAATGTTTTCGTTAAAAAAAAAAATTTAAGTGAAATTTATGAAAGGAATCTCAAGAGATCGTTCGAGTAACTTTATTTAGAGCTTTATCAGTTACTCAGGTCAAAAAATTGCAGTTATTCTGGTAATTTTCATTAAACATTTTAAGGTAGAAGGAGCCCCTTACTTATTATTATATAAAGCGATGTGGACTGAATTTTGAATCTACAATGAATACTTGTTATTTCTATTTAAGTTATATAATAATGTTTTTTATCAACTCACCAGTGTCTGTAAAACAAACAATTGAAGAGCGCCGTCAGTGAAATGTGGGAGGGCGTCCATCTCATGCCTGCAACAAACACGTTCCATTAACTCGAGACCTCCTTTAAATCTACAGAAATTCTTCTTGCCCAGCTTTCCTCATATGTGATGCTGAAGTATTTCAAGTGTAGGTACAAATACTAACCTACAGTGTAATGTAAAACGTGCTGACAATCCAGGTAGAAAAAACACGGGACATTGTTTGGTGGATTCAATAGTGAATTTACTTTTGTGATAATTAAGTCTTCATTTGAGTACTTTTTATAGACATTACATTAAAAGATGGTTATTATTGCAATTGGAGGCGCCTAAACCTATAACTTTGGGTTGCGGGAAAATAATAATTAGACGTGCTCAATGCTTATATGGAGAGGCTAACCCTAGGTATCTAGGGTACCTATATATATATATAGGTAATATACAATCATATATAAATAAAAGTACAAAATAAACAAGTCGCCCTTCAAGCACTAACATCAAATTAAAAGATGACCGGCACAGTTTTTGTATTAATATAAATTTTAAAATGTTCAGCATTATTATCGATCGCACAATATTTTTTGCATAATAATGCTATTACATCACAACCTGAGTGTCTTCCATTAGAACCATTTGTAGGGGAAAAAAAAATATGCTTCAGGGGCTAGTTTTCTTATAAATAGCAATAGTCTTTAATCGGACACTATCGTTTCCTAACAGAAAACTTACACCTAATAAAAGCCAAATATTTCAATCGTAAATACGGATATGCTACTTTCTGTATAATTATAAAATTTATCTATCTACATAATATCTTTAATGTTCTTCCCAAGGAAGTTATATACCTAACGGTTCTTTAGGTATATAACTTATTTGGTTCTTCCTCTCCACAAGGCATTACTATGGCCACGATGTACATGTACACAATTTGTTTTACCAGTTATAGTTATTAACGGGGTTGTACCATGTACCTTGTTTTTTTGTGACTCCCATGGGTATATCCCGTTAACAATCCCGTTAATAACCATAACGTTAGTGACCACGAAAGTTTTAAACAATATACAATACAACACAATATAATACAAAGCACTTTATTGTACATCACAGAAAACATTACATTTAGTACAAAACCAATTAAAACTAGTGTAACAATGGGCGGTCTTTAGCGCTAACAGAGATCTCTTCCAGGCAAACTTTGGATGGAGAGGACTAGAAGGAAGTTGGAGAGACGACGGAGTAAATTACTTGAGTGATATAGGTAATAATATATACATTCATATACATATATATAAAAATATATAATTTATATTCTCTTATATACATAGACACATACATACATAGCAATAAACAAATCTAGTTCTTTTGGTAGTAATCACAAAGGAGATTATAATTAAAAGTTTTATAAGGATAGATAATAGGACTTAATAAGGTTTTTAAGAGGCTGAATATATTCCGCACGTCGTATGGTGACTGGGAGAGCATTCCAAAGATGTACGGCACGTACCGCAAACGAACGGCTATAAAAAGTTGTATCGTGTACAGGAGTCATGAGAGCAAGATTTTCTGATGACCTAAGGGATAACGTGTTAGAAGTATGAAGGGAATTAGACTTAGCACGGGGACTTAGGATTGAACAATATGTTGTAAAGAAGAGCAAGAATATGAGTATTCCTGCGAAGAGGAATAGGTAGCCACTTGAGCTGCGAACGAATATATTGTTTTACCTAGAAAGTATTCACCTGAGTTTGAATCCCGTGATCCCATGACTGGTGCGATTTGTGGCCGCTCTTCGTCCAGTATTAGAACACCACTGGCTGACCACACTGACAGCATGCGAGCAACGCACGTCACGTTCAGCCGACCCTGTTCAAGAAACTCTATTGAACCTTATGGAGTGATTACATTTGATTGTTAGCCCGAATACGAGTGCCTATGGAATTCGGGTGTAAATGAACGGAGTCGAGTACGCCCATATTCAGGTAGTTTTTGCATTGCTTTCCCGACACCGTCTTCCAGCGTAAATACACTCCCGGACACTTAAATCGAGCCACCTTGATTTTTTTGGTTTGGAGTACTGTAACTTATAAAAGATGTATGTAGAAGGAAAATGTTTTGATGCAGTTTTGGAGCTGGTATACTAGAGTGCCACTGTTCTAAATTTGAACTACAGTTTATTAAAAAAGTCGAGTTACGTTGAAACAATTCCATATTTGTTTTTTTCAATGAAAAAAATCTAATCGATTTTTAAATAAAGACATGTTTTACATGGAAAGAAATGTTTATTTAGTAACTTGTATTGCCTCTCAGTGCATTTATGACAGCTCTCATACGGTTTGGCATAGAATTAATCAATGTCGTTATGACATGTTGAGGAATGTCCTCCAATTCTTCCAAAATTACATTTTTGAGCTCCTGCATGTTTTGCGGGGCAGGATGATGAGCTCGAACACGCCTCTTCAGCTCATCCCATAGATGCTCTATAGGATTCATATCAGGACTTCGCGCTGGTCATCTCATAACAGTGATACCAATGTCATTTAAGTACTCCCTGACGATTCCAGCAGTATGGGCCCTTGCATTATCATGCATTAAAACGAAATCTTGGCCAATAAATCCAGCATATGGCATCTCATGGTTCTAAACATTGGCGAATGTATCTATTTCCATCTAGGGGCGGCAGTCGTGGTCCCGTCACTACCTCTAGCTCAGTTTTGCCTTCCATAGAGATTCCTCCCCAGACTGTCCATGATCCTCCACCATAACTCACTTTCTCGTCAATACAGCATTGTGCGAAACGCTCGTTCTCTCTTCGGTACACCTTACTCCTTCCGTCATTACCGTGTAGCATTATCTTGGACTCATCTGTGAAGAGAACCTGGCTCCATTGATGTCGAGTCCAATTTAGATGTTCGCGCGCAAACTCTAGACGGGCTATTCGGTGTGCTCGTGTCAATTTGGGTCCATTGGCTGGCTTATGGGGCTTTAAACCACGTTCATTGAGTCGCCTTCTAACGGTCCGATCACTTACAGCCACTCCGTGAAAGTCCCTGAGCTGTTCTTGTATCTGAACAGAGTTAAGGCGTCGATTTCGAAAGCTAGTAGTGACAATGTATTGATCTTGTCTCGCCGTTGTCACTCGGTAACGAGGTCCTCCTATTCGCCGAGCGGAGCCGCCAGTCTCCAGGTATCGGTGGTATACTCTTTGAACAGCGGAACGACTTATGTGAGTTGTGAACTCACATCTCGCTGACTTAGCTGAGATTGAAGAAGTGCTACAGCTTGCGCGGCTACTTCAGGTGAAGTATCCATAATTTTATAGCCACAAACGGTTCAGATTATAGAAAAATAACTAAACTAAACTTTGGTTTACAACACTTGCGAAAATTCAAACCAAATCGACATTAAATTGCTTCGAAAGCAACATTCAACGCTCATTTTTTTCAAATCAGTGACCAAGCTCGGCTTTTGTTCTTTATTTTAAATTCTAAAATTCAAATTTGGAATAATACATACGGGAAAGACGATGAAATATGCCAGCATTAAAAATGCATAAAAACTTTTTTGGTATATTGTATATTTTTTGTGTATTGGGCTTTTAGGCCCGGGAATGTAAGGTGGTTCGACTCAAGAGTCCGGGAGTGTATATATTCCAGTGTAAATATTGTTTGGGGTGCCAAAATTCGAGTAATAGCTTTCGTGCACCCGAATACGGGCTGACGACTAAGTGTAATGGAGTGACAAAGCAAAATACTATTGGTGCTTTGAGTGCCTATGAGCGGCAGTAACCACTAATCATCAGATTTATAATTAAAGGAACAAGTGGGCAGTTAACATTTTGAAACTTCTAAGTTTCTGTTTCATATTTAAAACAAGGATGGTGAGTTCAAGTAGAGCTAATATATCTCGTTTAGTTTTTCAGTATTTAAGAGGATTTTTAAAGTGTAAAAGTTTTCCATTTTTTACTTCTTAATAATTATTATCGTCATAGTTTTTCACGGGTTAATGCACGAAATTTCATTTATTTATTGACGTTTCGCAGCCTTTACAGGCTGCTTCGTCGGGATCAATTTTTTATTTAAAAAAAATATATATTGGTTCGTGTTAAGGGTAGATCAAGTAAAGCAATTCTTCGTGTTACAATGTGACTAAACATGACGATATTATATTTGTTTCTTAGATTTTCACGCACATCACTCATTAAATAAAACTAGTTTTTCACGGGTTAATGCACGAAAATTAATTTATTTATTGACGTTTCGCAGCCTGAAACCTAAGAAACAAATATATTATCGTCATGTTTAGTCACATTGTAACACGAATATTTGCTTTACTTGATCTACCGTTAGCACGAACCAGTATCGAATTGGAATAGTTTTCGACTGCGAAATGTTATTGTCAAATTTTGTATGGAAACTTGAACAGCAGCGCCTTAACGGACGTAACAAGAACTAAAATACAGTACACATTTGACAGTGACATTTCGCATTCGAAAACTATTCGATATTGGTTCGTGCTAAGGGTAGATCATCAGGCGAATAATTTTAGACCTAGATCTTTCTTGATCATATTATAATAACAACCGAGCTTTCATGTAACAGTTATGATAAAAATTTATTGAACTGTTTCTGTCAACGATTAAAATTATATTCTGTAATATGAATTATCTATTTCCACAAATAAAACCATACTCGTAAACATCAATTAAATGTTAAAAAAATTCAAAGCGACGTTATCTTAATATTTTTTTGTCGCAATGAAAGGGACAGTATCATCTTTAATCAAACTTGAAAAAATGTGTTTGAATACGACCTATTTTATGTTGTTAAATCTGTATGTATCTACTTTTAATAGGTAATACCAAGGACTATCAAATATGTAAAAAGTTTAACTTATGCATTCCGTGTGTAATACTCGTACAAACAATATTGGTTTAAATTATTGTTTGAGAACAAAGAACTGAAGGAAAATAGCTAAACCATTATACGAGCTTACGGAGTTAGGCTATTTTTTGCACGAACTTATTTCTGCTAGGTTGAATTATTTAAGAAACAAAATATGCAAATCATGTTATCGTCCTCATTGCGGCTCATTGAACTTAGGGATATGATTGGAGTAAACAGCTGCTACTGTAATAATAAAAAAGGTAAAATATTTCCTTTGTTTTTCATAGAAAAATTTCAAGTAACCTTATTTGCTGTGAGTCGTTTTGCAAATATGGTTTCGTGTACGTACTTAGGTAATCGTCGTATTCCTCATGTCATGATGCTCAATTTGTGGAATCGGTGGGTGGGTAGGGGTACTTACGTACTCAAGAAAACATTGCGTGAACGTTCGCGGTATTACTTACTTTATGGAAGTGTACGGACTGAACCCTCATAACAAGCTGGCTGTACGAGGATGATTTATTGGATTTCTCTTCTTCAGTGCTAATGTTCAATTTATTTGCTATTTGTTCGGCCGCTGGGCGGATCTCCTTGTTTTTCCGATCGTTCGGTGGCGGCGGGGCCAACATCGCCTCGATATTGCCCGGGATGTCTATTACGCTGTCTGTGGCGGGCTCGTCGAAGCTTGAGATTGCTTCCCACGGACTGAATATAATTCTATTGGCATCGTCGAGTGATGCGTCCGTTATGACCGGTTTCCTTTGAGCATATGGTGCCTCGTTCACTGGGATGTCGAGTCCCTTTACCTGCGAACAGATGTTACCTGTTAGCGATATTTATTTATATATTTGTGACTTTATTGCAGTTTAATTAAATTGAACTATTTTAGTTAAGAGATAGTCTTGTTAAATAAGAACCTATACAAAAGTTACGCTGATGAGTTCCTTGCGCACGTTTTATCTTCCTTCTCAGCTAAAAGATTTGTGAATAAAGTTGGACGATTCAAAAGAGATTTCTATTAAGTCCTTTGTGTGAATAGAGTATATTATCTTAACATTGTTGATTGTTACTGTGTATCTGATTTTTAGGCGGTTTGAACGTCTAAGCCACTAAACCAATTTGAACTAACTTTTACAGAGGAAGATTGGACTATGAATAAAGGCGATTGCCTTTATTCGTAGTCCAATCACAATAAAAACAGACAGAGATAATAGAAAAAAGATTTTTTATCACGGAAATAATAGTGGAAGGGAATTGTATAAGTTATTTATACTTGTTCGATTCGTTTTACTTTAGGTTATATGTATTTTTGCATTTTATGTGTATGTTATGTGCTGCCAACAATAAAATATTTTTTCTTTCTTTCTTTCTTTCTTATTCTAAGAGAAAGACGCCAAGAAGCTAATAATGGCTTTAAAAACTAATTTATGTTTTTTAATATAAGTACCTTATATACTCGTAAGTGACATTTGATTACCTAATTGCCATATCTTTACCGTACGCGGTGGTAATATAATATACAGATGAAACTTAAAATATATACTATAAGAATCGTTTCAATCAAATGAATCAGTCTTTGATTTGCTAATACCTCTTGTCCATTCAGCAGCCACGTGAGATTGACGGGAGGGTCGGCTGGAGGTGAGGTGCAATTCGCCCGTAGCATATCTCCGATGGAATACCAACTCTTCTGAGCTTGTACTTTGGGTTGAGATTCCGGTAGTTCTAAATCATAAAAAAAAAAAACAAAATCGGTTATAATAGCATCTCAAAGATAAATACTTGAAGGTGGCTGTATTCCAAGTATTCAGTGCAAGTTTAAGATTGAATGAAAACTATGATAAGATTTCGTAACGATGATGTGATATAATACAATTATTTTTAAATGTTATCTGATTTATTTTAATTAAAGCTTATAAATATGTAAATGTACTTAAGTGTATATTTTAGCTTGTATATCAGATTTTTAATGTTATTAAATTCAAATAGGTCCATTACAACATTTACTACGATACTGCTATTTTTTAAATGCATTGTTACCGAGCCAACGAAGTCAGCAATTCGAACCGCGGGGAATACGCAAAATGCTGATGGCAATAAATAACTTGAGTGAAGGTTGCATGCGTGTCAGAGCGCGACGGCTGATGCCAGTTACACATAGGGTTGGATGGATATCAACTAACAACATCAATTACTTTCTTGTTAAACGCGAAGGCATATCATACACTTATAAAAAAAATCTTTTTAAACCGGCAACTACCTAAAAGGCCTTTTTTAATTTTTTACACTATTATTGAAGTTTGGTTTTTTTTACAGGTGAAAACCATGTTACGATCTTCTTGCGACCTCGAAGCCTGTGTTGCTATGTGTTGAGGAGATTTTTCATAGGTTTCAAAGTTAGAAGAGGAAGGGATAATTGATACGTGCTTAAATAGACCAAGGGCCGAACCCAGGCAGGGCAGTGGGCCAGGAGCCTCTATAACAGGGACACCAACCAGGGCAGAAGGGGGGAGGGACGAGTATGCCGTAAGCGCTCGTAAGCTGCGCAGACTGCTTAATGACTTATCCATTTCGCACCCGTGACACTTGCGAGAGGCTAGGCGTGAGGTCCGTTTGTTGGTGGGCTATTTAAGGGCGCCATTGTCTGTAAATAGAGGTTTTGCTTGCGTAATAAAAAAAGGGGAGGAAGAGGGTTCAAATCATAAATGGTCCGGGGTGCCAGTCTCTCCTTCGTTGCCCCAGGACCAGCTTATGGTATCCTCTTACCATCAGATGCCAAGCTTTTCACATCAAACGAAAAACTAGGGAATAATGGAATTTCAAAAAACCGTATTAACTAATTTAGTTCATACACATCACTAAAGAATGGCGAAGCGACCGAGAGCCGTGTCGGCGTTGCATATTCATCATTCATACGCGTTGGTTCTATTTTGCCCCAGAATGTAGTAGGAAGCTGTTAAAACGCCGAACAGACAAAATGGCGGTCCAAACTAAAACACGGGGCGCTTTTGTTTGCCGCTAGCGCCCTCTATTACACCGAAGCGGCGGAACTCGACGTCGAGCAAAGTTTTAAGTGTTTACATTCCTGTTCTGTCGCTTTTTGCCAATTCTACTTAATGGGAATGCAGGGAGTTTTCCAGCACCTCGTAATTTGACTGTCAGGGGTATTTTTAGTGTTTGTTTAATTCGAGGTTTTGATAAAGCCGTTCTATATTCTTGTGCAAACAAATTATGATTTCTTTGTTTTTAAACGTTGCTGGAAAGTTTGGCTGTTATTTTAAATAACAAATATTCAGTCTAACACAGAAATTTTGCTCTTAGCAGTAAACACAGAGTGAGCAGAACTTGATGTTGTTGGAGTAACTTTCGTGAGGCTTCTTCCCTTTCCGCGTACCTATTTTGTTTCTGTGATTTCTTTAATTTAACTTCACGGTGCACCTAATACGTTGTATTTGACAGTGGAATATTTTCTTTACACGTTCTGTTATTTTTTTCATTTTTTACATAATAAAACAATGTCATTAAACGTTATTAATAAGATCATATTTGACATCAAAAGTAATAATTTACATATAACATTGTATTTCTGAACATGTTTAAAAAGGAGTTGGGAGGGCAGGGCCATACCATTCCTCACGCAAAATAGGTACACGGTGTCGAGTTGCGGAAACTGCCCCCCTTACTACGAATTTTATGTTAAAAGAGTGGTAAACAAGCATACGGCCCGCCTGTTGGAAAGCGGTCACCATAGCTTATAGACGCATGCGATACAAAAACTATCACTGACGCCATTGCCTACCCTGCCTAACCTAACTTTTTTTTTAACGGGGAGAATGCATTTATACACCGTCCCCGCCCACTGGGCTAGTGAGCGGGGGTGTGTGGGACTCACCCGGCTAAAGAGATAGCCGGGAATACTCCACTAAACTCTCCGGGAACTTCGCCTCGCCATAATTGAGCGGGCCACGAGCATGCGCAGGGCGTTGGCTTGAGTAGGCCTACTCGGCGGTGCCCGCATAGTGCCAGAGGCATGGGGCATCCGCGTTCCGACGGACACCCCACCGCCGCAGGGGCGCCTAACCTTTTTTTTTTGCCCAGGGAAATGCTTTGCGCATACCCTGCTACTGGGTGGGCAACAGGGTTATGTGGGATTCTCCATACTGGCATACCCACTAAAACCCAGGGGTGTGCCGGCACCGCCGGATGTGACGATGTGGGATCCTTATTGGGAAGCAACCACATCAAGGGGGTGCCTATCCTAACCTAACCTAACCTAACCCAAACCCAAACCCTACACCGTGGAGCCCTGGAACCTTACTTCCAATAGAAACACAACACCACCTAAAGGTAGTGCTATTTTACTCTTTCTGTAAGGTGGAGGTTGCTTCCCCAGACGGGCGCTCCAATAAGAGCGTTAAATCTACCACTATACCCTACCTCCCTTAACTAAGAAGATTTAAATCTTGAAAAATAAGTTAGTAGCAAAGAAAACCAACTTAACATCGGTCGATCGCACTCAATTCATATTCAAAGGTAACATTGCTCGTCGGTCAAGCAAGTCCACCGAGATCACCTCCAGCTCGCGAACACGAGAACCGAACCGCCAACAATAACCGTAAATTAACAAAGATAAACCTTAATCAAACATCCCTTGTGTTCGATTCACCATTTATTGCTCAACAATAGTTATGATTTACGATTAAGGATGGTAGGGGGCGTTAGGGGACTGACCGTGTTATTATTTGTAAGCACTAGGTACCACTCCTACACCGAACTAACTAATCTGAGCATGAGTTTGATGGCAATTGTAAAATATAAAGTATGTAAATTGATATTTATTAACAAAATGTTTTAATGTTTACATTAAATATTAGTAACAGTTCAGAGTTATGTATGTTGTTGTGTTATAATGATTATTTTAGTCAATACTAATTGACTACATATAGTTTTGGTATAATATAGATACAAAGACATAAAGTTCTTTTTAAATAATCCTGTAATATTTATCGGGATAAAAATAATAATTTAAATATAAAGAAAATCTTACTAGAAAAAAAATCAGTCGGACCAGGCAGCAGCCGGGACTCAAACCCGCACCCTTCGCTTCGATGTTGGCAATAAGCTGTTTCAGAATCTTTAATAGAGGTTTTAAAGCATGGGGGTAGATAAAGGCATGTTAGTTGTTTCGTTTCCTTGTGGAACATTATGGCCTTACCATGAACTAGTTATTACCTAAAATCAAAACGCGTCTCCCCTACCTTTCGCACCTTATTGGCTGAACCGCTCAGAAAATCCGCTATGATCTACCTCTAATATCATCCTAACTCGATCCAAGAAGATTTTTATGCGTAAATAAACAGACATAAATATTGTCACGGTTACCCTAGTCTACTAAGGTCAGAAATGAGACAACAGAATATCATAAAAATTAATTATTTTAATAAAAAAAAACTCGACCCGGAGAAAATAAAATTAATCGGTTGGGGTTGAGCACTTAATCCACACAAGTTCCTTGGCTTCGTCGGTGCTGGTACTCTCCTGTATAACGCCGGGTAGTTGGGGTCCCGGGAGTCGCGTTATTGAAACCGCTGGCGACTGGAGGCTGCAGGAACGGGTAGCTGAGCCCGGCAGAGAGTACTCTCGTCGTTGTGGTGAAAGTAGGGGCTGTGAGGTGATACCGGCCAAATTGGTATCCCGAGCGTTGAACCCCAGTTTCGGGGCGATCAACACTTACTTCACAATAATTTATCGTATTATTTATTTGAGGAACGCTTAGCGACGATCACGAAAAATATTATATTATGGTTCCGAGTTTTAAAGATTATTAAATTCTTTTCCCGTATTAGAGACCATTAACATATGTGACATACGTTCACTCAAATTAAATTGAGAAATGAGATGGCGGGCGCCCGGTCATGCAGTTTTTGCTTAGCGAGAACAAAAGATCCTGCTTGGAGCGCTAAAATGTTGCATCGCGCGAGTTTACGTATACAAATCCGCTTGATGAATTTATGTTGCATTTTAGTGTCTATGAATAGTTTTATTATTGTAAATAGCCAGTTTGATTATTCAATTATTATGATTTGTAAATAATTTAGTTACAATAAATTGTGTTTTATATTTATAAGTAGTTTTTAGTGTAGGATTAAATCTTTTAGGCATTCTAAATATTAAATTTAAGTGTATTTTAGAGTAATAATATGAATTATGGAACGCATAACGTTACATACTAACTTTAAGGAGACTTCAACAATACTATATACTAACTCTTCCAGAATTAAGAAGGAAAATTTGAAGAGTATTTGCAAAAAGTTTCAGAAGACCATAGAGAAGATATTGCAGCAAGATTTCATTGTTCCAATCTCTCTTTCAATTTAATTTATTTTTTTACGAAACCAAATTCGTGTTTTAATCCCGCTCATTGATGGGGCTTTCTTAGAACTTAAAATTCATCAAAAGTTTCGGCGCTGTGTTAGTGAAGTGTGCGTGAATGACAATGTTATTTTTTAAAATTCATAATACCACGCATCCAGCAGTGAAAATTGTGGCTGTCTGCTGTGCAAGCCCTTAGAGCGAGATTTAAATAGCGACGGAGCGTTATTATGAAATTTCCTAAAAATAAATTCATAGTGGGTTATATTGTTTTTTTTAATTGTGACATTGGATGTTTTAATCTTGGCGATAAGCTAACTGTTTCAGATTCTGAAATAGTAATTTTAAAGCATGGGTGTAGTAGATAAATAACTATTATGTTATACACTTTAGTGTTTAATGTTCCGTAGCCCTTTCGAACGCAGTCTTGTGGAAATAATTTCTTAAAGCTCTCGTAACTCGGATGTCACGTCGGCGTTTATGTAGTTTCTTCCGACGGGCAACAGGTGTTTTGCAATATTAACACCCCAGTGGGGGCGATGGACAATAATTTATAATCTCACACACACACTATATTGCTATTTTTCCTAGAAACTGGACGTGTGAAGGATGGACGGGACGCTTTTTCAGTTTAGTTTGAGCGTTCGTTTTATTGAGCCACGACTTGTTGTAGAAAAACTGTAGTGTGGACACTGGCTTGTCAACTAGTTCAAAATATCTAAGCTTATACCGTATTCATTTTATGTAGAATACTAAGTAACGACATTTGTTTCTTTATAAGTAGAGTACAGGTAAACATATTATTAGTTATAATAGTTTTATTTTGAGTAGAATAAATAAGGACGTAGCGAAGAATTCAATAAAAACGCTGTTGATGAAACGAGCTAAATATAGTAAAGCTCTTTAGATAAAGTAAAATAAAAAACAGATCTTTGATTAAACCATTGAGCAACACGGCCGGATTAAAAATATATCATCTATGTATGTGTACCTAGTCAGATTAAAAATTCTGTCACATGTTGAATATAGAATAGTTGAAACAAATTTATTCATTATGTAATCATTTATATACCAAAATGAACTTAACAAAACTTAGATTCTTATGACAATAAAGTTTATTCAAAATGACCTCCGTGATTTTGAATACAGGCCTTCAATCTGCGCGGCCAGTGACTGAGTGACTCCAAATTGGGATGAGGCTTTGAACACGCTTTTTCCTGCAAGTGTTGCCATATCTTGTAATGTAACGGACTCAAATCTGGACTGGGGGAGGGCCAGTCTTCGTGCCGCGAGCCAGTCTTGTGTGCTCTTCGGTCTATGAGCTGGCGCCGAATCTTGTTGGAATACCCAGTGCCTGTTATTGAACATGGTATGAGAAACAGGTTCCACATGGTTCGTCAGGACTGTATTTTGATACACAACTGCATTCGTTTTTACACTTTTCTCACAAAAAAGTACCTCTGTTAAGCCCCAATAAGAAACTCCCAACCATACCATGAGCGAGGATGGAAAATGACCTCGTTGGACACACGGAATACGGTTGCTCGCTTCTTCACTACTGTGTGCGTACACCTTATCATTTTGTTTGTTGTAGCTCTCTTCTACGGTAAATATGGGGTTGTGTTTTAACCCCATCTGAAGGGCCAACAGTTTCTACTTACGCTTGGGATTTCTTTGAATTCGCGCCTTCACAGTTTTTATCATTGCTGGAGTCCTAATAGACCGAGGGCGACCACTTCTTGACCTGTCATCTACACCTGACCTGTCTTCATTGTATCGTTTGATGGTACGATGAACGAATCTTTTGGTTATATTAAAATTTTTCAGTATGTCAAAAAATTGAATTGGCGCGTCATCGCAATAACTGCAACACGGTCTTCTTTAAGCGTCCACTCCATATTTAAAAATGAGTAAAATTCTAAAAAGTATACATTTTTATTTTCATGAACAATTCGAAATTCGAATTCAATAAACTTTTTTGTGGCCAGCATTCTAAAAGAAAAGTTTTTACTGTGTGACAATACTTATGACCTGACTGTGTATGTATACGTGTGTGTAATTGTAATTTACGCGGTTACAGCTTACAAATTTGAGTAGAAGTAGGAGAAAGATATGATTAAATGAACTGTAAGCGGTAACGTGATAGAATACAATTTTAAATCTAATACATTGTATATAACTGGAGTTTCTGGACTTATAGACACAAAAGAGATTTGGTAAAATGAACAGTAAACAGCTAAGCCACAGCGTGATAAAGACTAAGCAATCACAAAGTTTAATGAGGAACTTACCAACGACTCGCATAAAGGCGCTTTTATAGACGGTGTGGAAGAAAGGGGCGTCGGCGGACACTTCACATCGATAGCGGCCGCTGAGACCGCGCGTCGCGCCTCTTAGGACTACTTGCTGGGCTCCAGATCGCGACACCTGCATGGCAAAATAACAACGCATATACGATATTCAAATGTTTTTGAGTCATAAAAAGGCTTTCCAATAGCTCTAATTTTGTACACATAAAAATCGTGATAAAAAGTGAAATTAAAAATACCTAAAACTGTTTCTATTCACAAACTTTGAACGCATTATAACATTACTAAAATTGAAAAGTATTTATAAAGCAAATAATTTACGTTGAAATGAGAAAGGAGATTGCTCAAATTGGCCCAAATGCACAAAAAATATTGACATACACGGTAATTCTTGGCGTAATTTATAATTTAATTTACAGTCATTAGATTTCAATGGACACCTTTGGATAATATATTTACTTTAAAAAGGATTTTTAATTTTACCGATTTGGAAAACATACGAATCATTTTTAATGGCTATGGGTGTAGTAACACTCAGCCAAAGACTGATCGAAGTTGTTTATATAACATAAAAACAAATCTATTTTGTAAAGATCGATAAAATAATTTTATTTTTTATTACACTGTGGTATTAATATCCACAACTATATTATCATTTTCACTAGATGCAAATGTGCTCAGACAATTATTATAGATGGTAGACGACATCATAAAGTCTATTGCCATACATTTTTCGCCAAACACCTCCATAAACACATTTTAATCTGTATATATGTTAGACTTTAAGGTATCTATCTATGGGCCTACGTTCCCTGACTATAAATTAATAAATAAATAAAATTATAAGGTGTGATACACTAAAAATCTAAAATATGGTTATCTTAAAAACATACCAAAAATAATGAAGCTACTGAATATATGGCTGTAGAACCTAAATTTCTTTCTTTCTTTGGTTAACGAGAGTTTAAAAATTCTTTCTAATCTGTGGCTCATTCACAATCATCACACAGTTTCTGTCACAGAGTACCTTATTATAACCGGAAATGACACCTGATTTTAAAAGTTACTCTTATGCATTAACTTTAAAAACAGGCAACTATTTGTTAATCTACATGCTCTACATACCTGAATCGAATCCATAATTTCGGTACTTGGCTTGATTTCCCTAGTTTACTATATAACTTATTTGTTTTTTATAATTTTAATATGTTCAGTGTATATGGTTTATAGAAGTTCTCAGGGGTGTCCGTCAATAATATTCCTTTCTACAGTAATTTATATATAATTTCGAATCTAGGAAACAATTTTTCATGATTATTGGTCTTTAGGCCAAACATGTAAGGAAGCTGAGCAATCTCCTTTGTAATCAGTCTCTGGTTACACCGGCCATCTTTACTCTAGATAAAAAAAATGGAAACATTGGTTTATTTTTTTACCTTTTGGCTCAGAGGAAGTTGAATAGAGTTTAGGTATACTAATATTAAAAAGAAATTTTTTGTATGTTTACCTTAAATCAAATAAACTAAAAATTACTAAAATTATTTATACTAGTAGGTAGAAGAATGCTTTATTATCCCTGGTTATCATTTTATCGTGTTAAAATAAATTTGAAATGTAATGAAATAGTAATTGACACTCAAAAAAGAAACATGTGGCAACCTTACCCGACTTTTAGATTACCAATTGTATTTTTAGGTGATCAATTATTATTTTTTGAGGATAATTTTAAATTTTACAAAATTTAGTGTAAATCCGGGGCGGACTCTACTCATTTTTTTACAGTTATTCACGAAATTACAATATATTACAATAATATTCAAAGCTTCTACCCATGCCAAAAAATACTACAGTAAAATGTTTATGTAATATTAACCAAATGTATTTAAACTTGTAAGTATGACAAATAGGCATACAATTATGTTCTAAAAATATTCGAATAGATAAGAGATAATGATAAACTCAATTATCATTTTATCCTCGAGCTAAACCACTCAGGCGTCTCGTATAAATTTGTGTAAGTAAAATGACTCTTAAGGATTTTGATTTTTTTGTTAATTAACAAGTACTTGAACCGAATGAAGCTTACGTCCATAACGATAACCATATCGACAGTGGAAAATAAAAATGGCTTACCCGCTTAACTTTAGTAACTTATAACGACGATCAAAGTATTTTTTTACAAAAAACGTCATAAAAGTTATAATTAACATCTATGTTCATAAAGAAATATATTTTCTAAATACTCTTTCTTTTAAAAAGGTACATAGTAGCTTTACTTTGTGAATTAGATGTCACTTATTCAGCTCATTCCAAATTTCTATTGTATTATTGAGAAACATAGAATAGATTGTTGTTGATTATTTTTGACAGAAATTAAAATGCATGCATTACTACATAAAATATATCGAATGTTTCTCTCAGCGTTATCGCTGATGTCAATGAAAGAGATTTATTGTCATCGTTTAGCCATAAGAATACTGTTGAGCATAGCCTTCCCACAAAGATTTTCACACTGATCGGTCCTGAACTGCCCCCATCCAGCAACTTCTCACGATCTTCAATAGATCGTCCGGTCAATCTGGTGGATAACATGCCCACTGAGCGTGGTCGCCATTCGAGAATCTAATCGCCCCAACGGCAATCAGTTTTGTTCTCTAAGTGCACTCCCACTGCTTTTGCTGCATTTTCCGCTGGGAAATTGGCCCGAACGCTGACCACCTGAGCTGGATTCAACGAGAGATCTCTTTCTCAAAGTTGGACTTTCATAACTGGACTATCTAACCCAATCCAAGTATTAGGTTAACTATTTCGTGTTTCCTACTCTTTGGGAAATATCAGTGTAGTGTTCTTACACACCCTTTGGGAAATACTGCGGATATCTTCGAGCATTGTGTTCAGACCTTCCAATGTTACAGCCGTTAATAGGTACCACGGTATATACCACAGCCGTAAATAAATGTCGGCTTACTTGGGTTTACAATCTATAACCTTACTTTCATCAGGTGCTTAAGAAGAATATAACTGCATATACAAAACACTTATTCTTCCTCAGAATTTCAATTTTAAACTAAATGATGCTATCGTTGCAGAATTCACCATCAAGTTGCTTAGATTGACTAGATCCAAGCTGTTTAAAGAACAACTAAAGCACGGGTATGATTTCACCTGCGTTAATTTGAGGAAAAAGGTTATAGTAAGTCAAACTTAAAAGCTGAAAATATGCGTCGCGGACTTTTCTATAGAAGTTTTAAAGGGAAACAATTCCGTCATATATAAGTTTGGTGTATCTTTAACCGTTTACCTAGCGCACCCAACAGAAGCTTACAAATGGACGATTTTTACCCGGTTTTGCAACATTTTTCATCGATGCTCCGATCCTACTGGACAAAGCGTAATATTATTGGTCGATAAATGCACTATCCAACACAAACATATTTTTTTCAAATCGGACTAGTATTTTCTGAGCATTTCAGCTTTATGATATTACTTAGTAAAAGCACGGTAATATTATCTATATTATTACCGTGGTAAAAGTAAGCACGGAGGGTTTACAATTATAAGAAGAGTGTCATGGTGTATAATAATACAGATATATAATAATAATAGAGAACAAAAATGGTAGTCTACACCGAAGCGAAGCGAGGGCGGGCCACTAGTTATAAATTAAGTTCTAGAACCCGACTAAGTTGTGACTCGCCGGGTCTGATTGTGAATCTAAACTATTCAGTACCTCCTCGAATGCTTAAAGGACCTACTAACATGACTTGCCTTTGTGGTCCATACATCAATATCTTAACTGTTACTTATAAACCTATGAAATAAATCAAAAAGCATCGATTATTATTGCGAGGAAGTAACTTGAGAAAACAATAATTTGTAAGGACACACTGAATTGGGAGAAACAAACAATTCCGCTGCGTATCGTTTGTTGGTCGATGTTGATTGTTTTTGCTTTCCGTCTCCTTCAGTGACTTGCGAGTATGATTTTTATTTCTGTCATATCTATAGGATTATTATTATTATACAAGACTAGTATTATCATCATCAGCTTTAGTTGTGTGTTTATTGATGGGGTAGAAGCCAGAATCACATCTTTTTTTATAGCGAGGTAGGCAAATGATTCTACCCCACCTGATGTTAAGTGCTGATAAAGTCCAAATGCGAAGATAGCTGTTACAGCATTTATAAACTGCTACACCAACCATCCTCACCTTGCCAGCCAGCAAAAATGCTTCTTCACGCCTCTCTTAGAAATGACTCACTAAATTTCTTTGTTCGTGTGGGAATAGTGGCCACAGTAAGTTGGTGACAATGAAGGTCAGCGCGCCTGTGGTCCTCTGAAGTGAAGGTAATAGAGGGAGAAAGAAGAACAACTCCTCAGAACACTCGCCACGGTATAGTCGGTAGAATGCGCTTAATGATGCCATATCGCGGCGTAAATCTAGAGACTCGAGTTTCTTAGTTACCTCATCATCGCCAATGATGCGGGCAGCTCGCCGCTGCAACCTATCCAAGGTATCGAGTAAGTACTTAGCGGAGCCGTCCTGGAGGTGCGAGCAATATTCCGCGTAGGACCGCACTTGCGTTTTGTACAACAAGAATATAGATAAGGACATCATTCAACTCTACGCGGATCAGAAGAAATTGTAGGTTACCATATAAATATAAAATTATAATTTTAGTACATCAGGACGCAGATAAAGATATTTTGATGAACGCCACATAAAAAATATTCCCACAATGATGATATTCCACGACGAAGGATATAAACCCTCTCAGGACTCATTACACTTCACTTGTTCTTGCTTCATATCTACAACTGACAAACCAACAAGAGCTGTAGGTATTTTATTAGACGGTCGTAAAGGTAAAAAGGTTTCCGTCTATATCGCGAACAGAAAATTGTGCGGTTCCCGAAACGGCTTAAGAAACACTCGCAAATATTTTCCCCTGGCCAATTTATCATTGATTACAGGTGGTAGTCGCAGCTCATGCGTAATTTATATGTACGCCGCCGTAATCCCATTACAGACCGTGTGCACTTTACCGTACGCAGCTGTAGCGACTCAAATTGAGCTAAAAGCTTCGATCCATCTTACGGAAAGTCGGTCCACTTTG